CATTAAAGGGAGACAGTATTGATAACAATGATGTGGAAGATTTTAAAAATCAGAAAAGGAAACTGAACAGATCTTTCATCTAAATTCTAAAATAGAAAACTTTATATAGATGACTAAGAAATGCTTGAAGTTCGTATTTTGACAATTCAGGAATACTGCTAAAAGATTACAAATGCCAAATCGAAAACAGATATTTTAAACATAAACATGAAAACTTGATGAAACTAAAACTGGTGCATCTAGTGAATTCTTTGGAATTTCTAAAAAAGGGATAAATCCGAATTGTCATATTGAATTGCCGAAATTAGAAATGGAGTCTTTCCACACCAATATGAGAATTCTAAACGTCTACCAAGAGCAGCTGCCTTAAACCCTGGCATTAAAAATGCATGTATATTTTGTTTGAAACTAGGAAAATTCATCGCCAGCAATTTACCGTCACAGCAATTTATAGCCTACAATTAATCGCTACTATATTTATTGTCTGGCAATACATACGAGGCTCGTATGTATTGCCAGGCCACCTTTAAGGACCACCTAACAACCGAAGTCATACATATTTTAAGTCATACAGCTAACAACCGGTTGGAAACTTCCACTTTTGTACGACGCTGAATGAGCTGTGATTGCTTATGCAGGTCCAACGCGCCTGTAGTGCAGATCAATGATTACACTAACCGTCCATTATTTCTCAGACGGGTGAGTCAATTCGTTTCCTCTCTGTGAGTGTTTAATCCAAAAAAAAAAAGTACACCAAAAACGGCAAGAACGTTTTTAGTTACCTTGTAGAATGTAGAGACATTATGTTAAATGCATGCATGGATGGTCCTTGTACACATTGGGGAGAAGGCGATATCTAAGCAATAAAGGGCTTTCAATTTTAAACTATTTTCCAAGACCATTAGCCGGCAATGAAAAATAGACTTCACATACTCACTCGTAATCAGATCAAATTAAACCTTACTCGAAGAGAAAATCTAGTTTGATATTTTTGAAATCTTCAGTAAGAGCTCAATCACAGGAAATTTCTATCAGTTGTTCTTTTTCTTCACGAAATAAAATTTCAGATACATTTGGATAAAATGGATTTCTAATCCAATTTTCTTTTCCATAACCCTCGGGAAAATACATTTTGAAATTATTTATCAATTAAAACAATGGATTTTAATGTCGGATGATAATTCTTCTTTTATTTTCAAATTATTTTCTGTTAGAAAACTTTTTAAAAGTGGTGAAAAGCTTAAAATATTATTATCCAATTCTCTGATTATTAGCTCAATTTTTTCAATAATTGCATTTATTTTATTTCTGATGGTAAACAAATTAACATTTTCCCTTGTAATCCTAAATTTATTTCATTTAACACGTTGAGCGCCAAGCGTATTTCTTAGGCAATCCCGTTCAGGCTACGCGCGCCACTTAAAAGCGCTGGCATTGTAGGGCCAGCGATTCCTTATCGCAGTAGAAGATAGTTTACGTTTGGAACGTGATTCCTATAGGCATTCATTCAACACGTTATGCTCCAAGTCTGTTTTGTAAATAGTTACATTCTATGCAAAGATATTACGAAGCAGAAAATTAGCATTACAAAAGTCCGGAAAGAATTAGCGCTATCTCTTACAAGTTGTGAAAAAGAAGATTCCTCGACAGAAATGCAAGAATATCTAAAAAACGGCATAACTCCAAAGAAACCGAAAAACCTTTGAAGTACGGAAATATTGTAAATTATGAATAAAAATGCAACTGAAGCTGTTAAAGTAATGGCCAGAAAAAAGACATAGTCACAATTTGTAATAGCTTAATGGAGAACGTTTTTATGCTTACCGTGTTTTAAATGAAATCCATTAGTCATGTAATGAATCAAATTAAGTAAATTTTAAAAATAATTTTTCTGTAATTCCATAAACAGTGTAAATTGTATAGTTTATATATCATGTTACACGCTGTCACCAGCGGCGGTCGACGCGGACTAACGGAAAGTCTAGTGTCACCACAGATGGCTGACGCGGCCTAACGGAAAGCGATGGCTCACGCGGCGTAAACGGAAAGTCTAGCGTCAGCCACAGATGGCTGACGCGGCCTAAACAGAAAGTCTAGTGTCAGCCACAGATGGCTGACATGGCGCTCAACGTGTTAACTTTCCATAAATATCAGAGGTTCGAATCCCTCGAACGGGCTGGCTGCATGGGCGTTTCCGTGGTTTTCCCCACGTGTAACGTGTATACGAGCCTGTTTCCCTTAGAAAGTCCTTCACGAAGGCATCCCTCTCCTTAGGTAGATAGTCCTATTGTGCTTTGCCATAATGAAATAAACCAATAAAAACCCCATAAATATCAGCTAAATATGCTAAACGCGCCAACCATAATTCCCTCACTAAACATTTTTACAATTCAAATATTTAATCACAGAGGAAAATTTGTATTTCTGATTGAAGTTCAAGAAGACGATTTAAAACTTTGTCTCTGGATAACCACCTTTCTTCGGTATGTGAAGTGTTTCATGTTCACTGCCCATCTCTTGGCATAAAATCGTAAATATTCTTGAAGTTCGGCTTTTAATAAAATGAACAATTTTGACAGTTTGGTTCAAGATTTTCAGGTGTCCAGGGATTGTTTTGGCTACTAAAGCTTCACGATGAATGGAGCAGTGAATAAATTTAGTTTCAGGTGCTACTTTTCTTATTTGAGAAATATCACTGGAATGGTTTCCTATTAAAGCCCTAGCTCCGTTACTGCATACAACAATGCCGTTACTCCAAGGAATATCATCTTCAGACATAAAATTGTCAATTACTTACAAATTGCAGTTGCTTTATCCTGAAGAGATTCACAAAATAAATACACTTCGGCAATTCGTTTATGTTCTTCGAAAGGTATGTAAACTAATAATTGACCTAAGTTCGTTATATCAGTATTTTCATCTAATTGGCAATGCGAAATATTCACGGTGTTTTATTTTTTGAATAAGTGTCTCTTTTATGGAATTTGCCATTTCATGATTTCTTCGACTTACTGTATCATTTCATAACAGTATATAATAATCATTAGCCGCATTTTCTTCATTATAATCTGTAGCCGCTTTTTGAATAATGTCAAAACAATATCTTTAGCTGCTGGTAATATAAGGTTTTCTTCTACAGTGGGAGCCTGCCCAGTCTTGGTAATTCTTAGGCTTACTAAGTAACTATCTTCCAAAACCTTTTCACTTGAAGTAACAAAACCTTTCATCATTTGTTTACTATTTTTGAACTCCACTGATTTCCTCTTAAGATATTTCTCAGATTTATCCTTCAAACTGGCATACTTAGCTTCAAAATGTCTTTTAAGAAACGATGGTTTCCTACTTTGATTGGATAATAGTTAACCGCAAACAGCACATTGAGGTTGAGAGTCCATTTCATATAAAATCTGAGAAAACCTAAATGATAAAGTAAGATTCATTATATTTTCTATAAAAAAATTTTCTTTTCTTTTCAATATTCTTAGTGCTAGTAGATTGTCCTGGATCCATCATCTGGTGAATCATCACTTTTCCGCTTAGTCAATCCTAGCTATTTTTCCGTTTGGAAAATCTAGGTTTGTTTGACGATTTCTTCACAAATATTTAAATGCAAAATATATTACTTGTTCTTCAAAATAAATGACGATATTCTCAAGTGGCGTAGAAAAGTAAGGAATACAAAGCAACAAGATGATAAAATACCTGCTGTTAGAGAAAGCAAATCGATGTAGAAAATGCTTCTAATTGAAGATAAAGAAATATGATGCCGGAAATGGTGGCGACATAAAGTGTAGACATTCTAATAAATCGATTAACTCTAAAAGAAATAATGAAATAGTATTATCTTTTTATAGGAACTTATTTTTATTTCCTGTTAAATAAAACATCCATTTTATTACTCCTTTTAAAAACATCATTTATGACAAATTTTGTTATATCTATGGCTAAAAGGATATTTGTGAAAATACTTTGCTAAAGTCTTTGAACAAAGCTGTGATCGCATAATTTTACAAGTGTTAGAGAAAAAAAACTTTAACAGGATGTTGGAGTATTTAATTTTTGAATTTAATAGTTAAAAGTACTCTGTTTCTTTGCGTACCACCAGTTGAGAACTGCTGCTCTGCAAATTGTTTCCCGATGACAACCTATTGTATGGAGAAAAATACATACTTCTGCATGGTTAAGGCTGTATTCACGGATCAGGCACACAAAACAGTTTTTCTGTATCAAATTATAGTTCTTTCTTTTTATCCTGAATCTGTTGAGAAATATATGGAAAAAGACATCAGAGCCCTTTACAGAGGTAGACAGACCTTTTCGATGGTTGAAAATCTGAACACCGCAGTAACTTGAATATGGCAGGACATTTTCTGTGAAATTTTGAAAACTTTAGTTGAATTAATGCCCAGTTATTAAACGAGGTTGGTTTAAATAAAATTGAATCTCTTCAATTTATATTCGCTATTTATGCTGATTAGCTATAACCTTATTATCATCCCTACATTTTAATGCGTTTTTGCTTCGTATCTGCCATAAACTTAAAGTTATTAATTTCGTGAAATATTATTTTTGACAGTGCAGTGTTATTTTTATATCGCAGTTCTTCAATTAGGCGCGATGTCAAATGTCTTCTAATTTGCTTCATGGTGTTATGAGCATCGAAAACAATTATTCATTCTGACTGATGTATTTTATTTTATGGAAGCCTCAATAGTAACTATAAATTTAGATTGAAGATTTATGCATCGTAATGCGATTTAAATTAATTTGTAAGTAAATCTATGAAAAATTATTTAAACTTTGCAATGCAGTTTGCTGTATCTTCAGCAGAGATGCAAAAAGCATGTCATAAAGCACCTTTTATATGAAATGGAAATGGTTTTAAATTACTTTCTGAAATTTGGATGTTTTGGAAAACCTAAGCATTCTCTTGCAAGTTCTTCCGAAGCATTTTTTTTTTCAATTGATTTTAATTATTCAGAAGATTGTTTTTCTTCCAGAATGGGCAGCTTCACCTCCTCCCATAAAATTCTGAACGAAGATACTGCTGACAGTGACTTCCATTTGCCTAATGTAAACACATGGGATGACCTTCGCCTGCGGTGTCGTGAAGAAGTAGCTTGTCTTCCTCCTAAAATTGTTCGTCATTTCCATAAAGTTGCAGATTCTTCTAAAGTCTCGGATGTGAAATTACGAGTCATGCAGTGGAATGTTCTTTCTCAAGGTAGATATCATCACCAAAGGAGAAACCAGTATTCAGATTTTAAAATATTTAACTGTACATTCTATAGTTATGATGAATTTTTGATACCTTCATCTACTTTTAAACTTCTTATTTTATCATCTGTTCTTTGAGATTTATAAGTTGCAAAAACAAATTTAATGAAGATTCGAGTCAAGTACTGAAAGTCAACAGTCCGAATTTCATCAATACAAGAAATGTTGATGAAAAGTACATCAATACTATGAAGTGACTCTAAAAAAAATCAAGAAATATTACAATATCTTCCCCCAACAAACTTTTAATCTTTTTGTAAAATTACTGCAGACTTTTAAAGATATATTTAGCCTTCAGAAACTTTGTCCTGAATTATTTCAGCCATAAAATAGTTCTCGGAATTTCTGTTCTTTCTTTGCTTTTGCAAATTCGCTACTACTAGTTCACTTAGACAATGTTTTAAAACTCAGTGTGATTTTAACCTACTTAAATTTATTTAAAAAATAATAAAATGATGTATTTATGCAATTTTCTTAATACTTAAATTGTTTTAAATACTTAATATCATAAGATCTTGTAATAGCTTGTACACTGAACTGCTACTAATATAATATTTTAAACTCCCTGCCAATATTTTAAAGGTAGTTTGTGAATTTCGAATGTCTTAAAAAATTTATCATGTATTATTTCAGCTGTTAAATAGCCATCGTAATTATCGTTCTTTTTAAAAAAAAATGGTTGCAACATTCTAACGCTAGTTTAAAATGCAGTATACTTTATTATTTCATTTCAAATAAACTGAAATGCAAAACCTTTTCTACTTAAATTATCGTAAATACTCAATATTGTAAAATTAGCAACATAAGAGATAACGTCAGTTAAAAAAAAATTCTTGAAAATTTAATACTGTTCCTGATGAAAGGTCAATTTTCCTTTCTGATGTATTTTCTTTTTATTACTGTTGCCATGTTTCTTTACGTAAAACTCAATCTTTCAGATAATGCTTAGTTTTTCCTTCTTGTACTCTTCTATTACACACCTGTTTGCTTTGTTAACACTAAAGTGATTATATTGTTAATTAGATTTTATATTTCTTTTGTGTGTGTGCAGCCCTTGCCATAAGCAGTGACAAATTTGTTGCTTGTCCATTGGATGCATTGTCGTGGTGGACTAGAAGATGGCGTCTTCTGGAGGAAATGGCTTCAGTTCAACCCGACATTCTCTGTTTCCAAGAGGTTGACCATTATCAGTTCTTCAAGCGTACCCTAGGTCCGTTAGGGTTTCGAGGAATTTTTTTCCCTAAACCAGATTCACCTTGCTTTTATATAACTGGAAACAATGGACCTGACGGATGTGCTATATTTATTGACGAGACAAAATTTGAACTTCTGGATACGAAAACCAGATCACTAGAAATCTGGGGTTATCAATCAAACCAGGTTGCAGTGCTGTGCAAATTAAGGTATAGTCTATAAAAGGTGTAATAGTATTTTACATCTATACTTTAGTAACATTTTTATTTAGTTTTACAATTATAAGTATTGTAAATAGTATTTTACAACTATAATTTTTTGAATTATTTAAAATTTCAGTATTGTGTGAAAATTGTGCGTATTAATTTAAAGCTAATTTAAAATTTTTCTCTTGGAAAGATTCTTTAAATGTATGCCAATCTGATTTGGGTGCATAATTACGATCCAAACAAAAATTACCTTGAATTGGCGACTCAGGCCATTAATTATGAAGTCATCCTGAAAAGGATTTAATCTGCAGTTAAAAATAATCTGTTGAGGTATTTAAGGCCCATCCTCCGCTGTCTATGTCTGTCTCAGGAGAAGGGCTCTCACCTGAAGTAAACTACTAAAATCACACACAGCCTGATAATTCTTTCTAAACGCGAGCTCTGGTTTAAACTCAATCAGCGTTTGATGGCTTTAATTACTCCGTCTTTATATAAATGTGTTTAATTATCTGTTACACACTTTTTTTAATTTACAAGCAAAGCCTTAATACAAATAACGAATTTCGGTACTTCTTTGTTATATACAAATGATTAGTATTTCAGCTCGTTTAGACGACGCAAGAGGGAGAAACGACATCTGAAGATCTGTGTAAAAGAAATATTTGTGGTGGATTTCTCATTCAGAAAGTGCTTTATAAGGTCGTAGTTTGCTCAGAATATCGTGTTATGTCGAATAATAAGAAGAAATGCTTACCAGCAAGTGTCGGAATGCGTTAGAGGCAGGATCATTGTCTATCGAGAGTGCAGTTTATCGTTCCGTGATATCACCCGTCAACATTCAGCCACTGTCATGCGAATATGGAATCCATGACTTGCTGAGGGCATAGTGAACGACATGAAGGATCTCAACGGCCTCGTATGACTAACACTCGGAGGACAGACATATTGTGAGATCAGCCCTGCAAAACGATCGATCGTACGATCACATCACGGACCTTTAATCGGGAAATGGGCATGTTTGCAATATGTCTAGTATCCGCTCGTACGGTGCGTCGACGTTTGCAGCCGCGTGAACTATCAGCACGACGACCATTACTTCGACTTCCCATGACAGTGCAGCATAGAGAGAGACGGCGACTCTGGTGCGCCGAACGACAAAGCAGGATACAGGAGTGACACAACGTCGTCTTTTCAGATGAGTCCCGGTTCTTTGTGCAGTATTCTGATGTCCATATACGTGTCTGGAGGCTCCGAGGGGACCGCACGTCGCATGCTTGAGCATAGGGGCCCTGCACTTGGTGTAATATGGTTTGGGCAGCCATTGGGTGCACGGCACGCACATCTCTAGTTCGGATAAACGGTAATTTGGACGCAGATCGGTACATTTCTGACATCTTACGTGGACTGGTTGTACCTTATCTTCGAGGCGTGCCAAAACGCCATGTTTCAACAAGATAATTCAAGACCAAATGTTGCACGCCGTGTTCTGACCTTCCTTGATACACAGGGTATTCGATTGCTGCCCTGGCCTGCACGGTCTCTAGATCTGTCACCCACTGAAAACATCTGGTCATTGGGTTGCTGAGAGACTGGCCCGCCACCCTTCTCCAGCTAATACGGTTGATGAAGTGTGACATAGACTTGAAGCGGCAAGGAATGAGTTGCTCTTTTCTGTCATTCACCATTCCTGTTTCTCCATCAGTTGTTTTCAGGTAAGGGCCGTTTTAGCTGCCAGCGGTGGCAGCTGTTTCTACTAACTTAACACCCCTGTAACTCCCAAAACTGATTACAAATTTAATCATTTTATCTTCATGGCATACTGGTTACATATAATAAATATCTTTTTAATATTTATATAATTAATATTGCTTTCCTTCACGGTGTTGCAGTTTTAATGGCCAAATTGGTCCAAATATCTGTTACTCTCAAAATGCCAGTCTGAAAACTAGCTTGTTTTATATATGTGAAGTCTAACATTTAAAATAAAGGGAGAAGAAGACGTTAATTATGCGTTATTCTTAAACTTTTACATTAAACAAATCGACGGCTACGTAGTTTTACTATAAAATACGATATTCAGATCATTTAGTCTTTTATATAAAAACCTTTACTATATGACATTCATACAGTTGAGTCTACCTCATGTGGAAGTCGGTCTAATATCGGCCCATCGGATAGGATCATTAAACGCTGGTAGTTCGAGCGGGACTCGTATCCAGGCAATGAACTGCCTGCTTTTGCATTTTCGTGATTTTCCTCATCTGTAATGAATGAATAATAAGCCAGTTTTCTATAACAAGTCTTTCATAAAGGGTATCCCTCTCTTTGGGCAGATAGTCCTAATGTGCATTGACAAAATGTAATAAATCCAAACTCTTGGTATGCGAGACCTTCTTTTCGGGTCCCTATTGTATATTTTAATAATTATGATGATAGGTGTCGTAAGCAAAGTTCATAAGACATAAATACAACATATACATGTTTAAGAAAGTAAATATAAATTGCATAAATTAAATTTATAGTCTGTGATATGAATAACGAATCTAAGCTAAATTTCTCGTTCGTTAGAAATTCGAAAGTGAACTTCAGGGCTCATAGGAGATACATACTTCTAAACGCCGAACAAACAGGAGGACTTGCAGGATTCTACAAATTCCTTTCAAAAGTGCAAATTAGATTATAACAGAATACAAATTATATAATTTAAATAATATATAAGTTAGCCATTCACACTCATTATCTCTTTTCAGAGGACATTAAAATTTATCAATGATTACATAGGATAAATTTGCACAGGATAAATTCTTTTGAAAAATGCGTTCCCTTTAAGATTTTTGTGTGTATGGCATAAAAAGTCAGAAAAAAACATGATTTATATACCGAAGTATATATTAAAAAAATATCAACCGATATTATAGCGGAAGTTCATTCACGGTACGGTCTGTACTCCATTTTAGATAAGGGGTAAGGATATATTAAGTAGACCTGCTTGTACTCTTCGATCTTCAATACTCTTCTACTTACAGTACTCTTCGATCGAAGAGTACTGTGTAGTTTTAAAAGATACGTAAGCAAGTTTAAAAGAAATAGAGCTTTCAAAACCAAATGCAGTTAGTGTTGTAGTATAGAATGGTATAGATCAATATCCTGAACTAAGGTTTACATTTTTTGATAACTTTAATTCTGTAATTTTATAATTCTTAATCAACATTTTTTCGAACAATTATCGTCGAGTTGCTGGTAAGTTAGCGGTGAGAAGGCTACAAGTGCAAAGAGTTAAATGTCTTGTAGAAGGTGTCTGTATAAAAATTAAACAATTAAAAACAAAGGTATTCAAGTTTATGTATTAAATGTTAAAAAGGCTCGCATTTTGTTTAAATTTAGTTAATTAAGCTAAATTATAAATTTCCTAACTTGCTGAATTTTTGAATTTTTAGTATCAATTTACTTAATGATTCTTGTGTTTCAGGAGAAGGAAGGATGATACCACATTTTGGGTAGCTACTACACATCTCAAAGCTCGTCAAGGACCTTTCTTAGTTACAATGCGTCGAGAGCAAGGCAAAGATTTGCTTGATTTCATAAAAGATTTTAGTGGCAATAGTCCCGTTATCATAACCGGAGATTTTAATGCTAATCCTTCCGAGCCAGTGTATCAAACTATGATGAATGATGATATTTTACCACTAGATAGTGCATATCGTTATTTATCTAATAGGAAAACAGAACCTTCTTATACAACATGGAAGATTAGAGAAGATGGTGAATATTGTCAGACTCTAGATTACATTTTTTTCAGCCGTAACGCTTTTGAAGTGGAAAATCTTCTTCAACTTCCAAGCACTGAAGATATCGGCGAAGGCAGAGTACCATCATATAGTTACCCATCAGATCATTTCTCTTTGGTTGCTGATTTGAAGTTTAAAAATCTTGATTTTTAAGAAGTTGTGTAAAAGCATAGCTATTCACCAAAGACAAATGTTGATACAAAAACTTACAACGCATGCGCCCATGGAACTTTTCATACTATCTGAGCTTATTGTTGACGTAGCTGATCTTTTAAATGTTTTTGTATATATATATATATATATCAGCTGCTAATTTTCATACTCATCATAATCACGATTTTATTATCATATTGTTTTATTTTATATGGAAATTAAATTATTTGTTATTTTTTCGTCGAGTTCATTATTTTTCATTTCGTGTTTAATTGTATTTATCAAAATACGTTTTAACTAAGCAGTAAGTATCCATTTTTTATTAACCCGTCTATAATCTCACAATGAGCAAGTATAAAGTCACCTACTTAATGATAATATATTTATATATAACTATAATTCACCATGTAGTGTCATGTATAAAATATCATTAGTATAAAAATAGGCTTCGATTACGATTAGGTCATCTGATAGTACAGTTTTATTTATTTTAACTGGATATAAAATTCTCAGAAAATATATTTTGATTGATATAGAAGTGACATTTTATGAATTTGCATTTTATAATAAATATTATTTTTATAAAATGTTTGGTGTGCAAATGCAAAGCGATGTGTTTTTGTGTGTGTTGCATTACTGTACATTCAACATGCTTGTATGTAATTAATTTTGCAGTATAAACATACGGAAATTGAAGATATAAGTTTGAAACTTCCAATAATTCATATTTTCCGTATTTAAGCATTTTACATTCATATAAAGATTTGATTATATTTTGGGTAAAACTGGGCCGGAAGTTGTACTTCACAGGAAACCCATAACAGTCTTTAATGGACAGCTGGATGTGGCACTTTATAACTTTTATAACAGTTTTTAATGAAAAGCTGTATTAAAGTATAATCCAAAACTTTTCAGTTTTAGTTTTACAACTTTTATGCCAACAACAACAATATATTAGATTTGGGCTAAAACTGATAAAGCGGAAGTGATACTTTACTTGAAGGTCTGAACAGACTTTTGTAAACAATTATATTATGGAGATAATCCAAAACTCCTCAATTAGGTATTTAAAATAGGTATTGGATTGAGAGTAACATACTACATTTATAAACAATAAAGGTATTGTTGGCACAGTGCTAAATGCAACGAGAATAAGCTCACTGTGAAGATGAGTTCTCTTTCTGAAACAGTTAAATATATTAGCATCAATCCTTAGTTTTGTGTTCGTTTCTTTTTTGTGTCAAATCACTTTTCAAATAAAAGGTTGCTGCCACCGAATGTTATCACTTTGTTTTATTTTTAAAGAAATAATATAGCGAAAACAAAAACGTGTATAGCAGTTAACTGCCTATTGGGAATTCTAAAGCTATGCTAATTTTAAATATTTTTGTGTTTGTATGTGGAGTAAGTGCGAAAAACGGGATGTTTAATAAATAGAGCTAAAATGAAAAATAAAAAACGTTGATCTTTTTGTTAAGACAACTAAACACTCGTATCACAAACGAAGAAAAGATTGAAACAAAAATATATAACACTTACTACAATCTCGGGAAATCTAAAGATGTGCTGCTTTAAACACGATGTAATCCTTAAGTCAATGACTTGTGAATCCGAAACTGTATATATGGCCCATCAGTGGCAAAATTGTAAAATCGCTGAACGCTAGTAGTTTGAACTGAGTTCAATTCCAGACGAACGGGCTAGCTGCGTGGAAGCTGTCGTGGATCTGTTAGCCCCATGTATAACGGGGATACGAGCCATTTTCCCTCAGAAAAAATCTTTCACAAAGGCATTCCTTCCCTTAGACAGCTCTCTTGTGCTTTTCCATAATCAAATAAACCAAGCCAAACCGAAACAGCATGTACTACGATTGAGGCATTACTTTCAAATCAAAGCATGAGAACGGAGGTATGCATGAACACTTATAGTTAGTTATCATTGTCTATTGTATGAGAGAATAATAAAAAATGAGTAGTATTTATAGTTAGCATTCAGCCATAAAATTTACAAATAAATTACATGCTATTTACAGACGATTAACCGGAAGTGGTAATTTACACAAAGTTCGTTGCCACACTCGTTCTAGCCACATTTGATTTTTTTTAAACATGTCTATCCGCTAAGAAATATTTTCAGAGTAAGTGCGAAGAATCAAACTAAGACATTGCCATGTGAGACATACCCATTTGTTGCTGCTTCCTCGTATTCTGTATAACAACTTTTGAATTCATATGTTTAGAATGCATCTCATCTGTAATAGAAGAAAATAAGATTTTCTTAGGGCTTCTTTCAGTTCCGGTTGTTAATAGACATCGTTGTGGATGCGTTAGCGCCATTTTGGATGCCATTTGACTTCTTGGTTTGTTTTACCAAAGAGGGGAAAGTAGGCAGAGACCATCTGCTTGAAGAGAGGGATGCCTCCATAGAAGATTTTCTTTAAAAACATGATTCGTATTAATATCAGACATGCGAAAAACCAGAAAAATGGCCATACATACAATCCGTATCCCGGTGACTGAAGCCAGGTCGTTGTATTAGTGTTCAACGCTCATTGACTTGCTGGCTTCAATTAAAAACTTCTGACTGAGAAACTGCATTTATGTTTGTGAAACAAGATACATATTTCTGTCTTCGTTTACTTGAGGCTTATTTAGGGAATAAGTAGTGTGCATCATTACTGGGCTGTTATCAGATGAGCCATAGAAAGAATTGTTAATTACGAGGTATGAAGGCCTAATTAGCATAAATTAATTAAGTAAAGAATAGATTTCAGAACGATATATTATGTGAGATAAATAGAAACATCAGTATCACTGGACGATGTGAAGCAGAGAAAAGGAAATATATATATATATTTTCCGTTTGTGTGTCTTTGTATGTTTTTCTGTAACTGTCTTTCACAGAAAGCCACGAATTCCAGTTTATTACAGGCTCCCAGCAGAAAGTCTTAAACTATAATTATGAAGTTGAAACAATTCTAGGTACAATTCTCACTCAAAATTATGTAGATTTTTTTAAAACAGTCTGTTGCCTTCTTAATTTACGTTCACGTAACGTAAAGAAGTGAGAAATCGGCTTGATAGAAATCACAGCGCGCTATCCACGATATTAAAGCATCCATGAAAATGGCTTCATACAGCACATATTTTTGGGTACACTCTTTTTTTTTTTTTTTTTTGCAGGGTTAGGGAAGAATTCTCATGATTACTGAAAATATTGCGAACATCAAATAACGGTAATTTTTAAAAAGCAAAGTGAAATGAATATACACGGACTTTGGAAGAGAACTAAGCTGAAAGCTAGAAATATAAATACATTTCATAATAAAAGATAAATACATTTCATATTTTAACGTGAAAGTTTCTTATTAAGAGTTAAAAAATTATTGTTTTTTAAAAGCTACTGCAACATCTTAGTGTTACAGGGAACAGCTTTAAAAACAAAAATATTTTGATCATTTGATAATGTCGAATGTATTGAAATGTGAAGTATAATAGATTGCTGTAGCGTTGATTTACCTGCTAGCTGAAAATTGTAAGTAACTGACAAAATTTCAGTTTGAAATAAACTTAGTACATTTAATAAAATTAATTTAATTAAAACACAGATACTATATAAAAGAATTAAATAGCTAAATAAATTAAAATAACAAAGAAATTTACTCAGGGACAAGGGAAAAAGTTATGTCCATGCAAAATTCCGCCGAAAGCTCGGAACTAACGGCTGAGTTGTTTGTTTTAAATTTGTCCGCTAGAGTGGCGTTGCAGAAAATGGAAGCTGTCTTCGAGTGTTTGGTTACACGGTTGCTTTACTGTTAAGTTTCATGAGCTGCTAATACAAACCATATGCACGTTCATTTCGTTTAGGATATCTTGCTTATAGCTTTGTACAGTATAAATATAGATTGTTTTTCTGAGAAACATCTTGGCTGCATTGTTTATAAAAGAACAGTTAATTACAGTTCCAAAATTTAAATTCAATAGAAGGTTTCTGAGTAATAAGTAAGTGATTAATATATATGTAGGGAATTAACGAATAAGGAATTGGTAGTCTTTGCTTTCTAATGCAATTCTCAGTTTTTTTCTTACACTGCTCATTAAGTCTTAAGTAGAGATGACTAACGGGAAAAATCTTCGAATTCAGCGCTACCACTGATCAGATGGGTAAAACTGTTAACCCCGTACTCGGTGCTCAGCGTATTCGCCGAGTTTGGCTACTCAGAATTTTCTTAAGTTTCCTCATGCATACTGTGAATACAGGCTGTTTTTCTTTAGAAATTATTAGGCAGCTAGCCGTCGTGTGTTTTCACACACTTTCGTTAATGAAACATTCAGCCTTTTAACTCGAAATAATCATCTATATAATAATCCAAAAATTAGCTACTGAATTGCTTTTAGATAAGCAGTTAAAAAGAATTAAAATTTTAAGATATTCCTAAAATTCCAAAGTGCTGTTCTATCAGCCTCCAAATGAAGAAGACTCGGAACGAAAATATAAAATAATAAATTAACAGTTTGAAGGCAAATGATCATAAAATCCGTTTCATAATTTTACGAGTTTTGGAAATTTTGCATGAAAACATTGCTTGACTTTCTCATTTATGCAAACTGAAAGAAAAGTAAATATTAGAATACAAATTTAAAAGGCTGAATAGATGTAAGTAAATCTTATTTCATTCATTTATTAGTCCAAAGGGACAATTTGCCCTGAAGTACAATTATTTTTTTTTTTAAATAGGAAAACATTTATTAGAAAACCGTTTTATAATTACTCGGAAAAAATATTTTCTTTAGTCACACGCATGCAAAACTGCATTCTGAACGGAAACATATTCATATCTTTAAAGTAGGCACTCTGGAGTTTTACATTAAATTTTTTTGTTGCACTGAGTTTCATTAAAACTCAGTTTTGTGTATACGTGCATGAATGGACATTCAAAGGATTTCAGTAAATGAATTCTATGAATTTAGGAGCTAACTGGGAAACATAATTAAGTCTACAGTCGGAAATTATTTTGTACAGAAATAAAAAAGTATTTAATACTACTAAGCCAGAATGAAATAAATCTTAAACCGTACGTAACTGAAAACTTGTAAACACAATCGTGCCTCCGTATCCGCTATTTCAGTTATGTAAGGTTTATAAGCCAGGGAAAGTCAAAAAAGGGCCATTGGAGTTTCGAATTTGACTCCAAATGACAACAGATAAAAAAAGTATGAAATTTAGCAGAATTTCAAAC